AATATAATATAAATATTTATTTTTTGTAGCCAGGTCCTTGGTGCAGTATTTATACTCCACAATCCACCTTTAAAAACGGACAAAAAGCAAAAAGACATGTGATGCTGTTAATGTAAAATGCAGAGCCAAAGCCACTGAGCAGCAGCTGACACGGTTGCTGGTTTGTGTGAAAACACTTTCCCCTCTTTTCTTAACCTCCTGGTTGCTTAGCATGAGGAGACTCCAGAATTTAAAGCAGAGGGCAAGAGCAGGAAAAACTTCCTGAGTCAGCGTGACCTACTCTCACTTCTTTCTAAATGAGCCTCTTTTGGCACCAGAAGTTGACAGGGGAGAAATAAACAGAAACTCCCAGTCAAAGCCCCTGGAACGACAGTGCCCAGAGTTCTTTTATTTTTCGCCGCAACCAATGTAAACTTATAAAAGACCAATAGTGAAGATTAGTGTATTAGTGAATGCATGGAGGCCAAACACTGCTCTAAATGAGACGTGATAAAAAGTAAATCACTACTATAAGCCAAAAAGGAAACAAAATAAAAATGACCCTTTTTACTGTACAAGGGAAGCCTGTCTTGGTGTGCGTTTGTTGCTTGATACCAATTCTTGAGTCCTGGGAGAGGTCTGGGAGTTGGGACCTTAGCACATTTGGGGAAAGGAGGAGAATGGAAGGAAGAGTAATCAAAGAGTCTCTGGCAAAGTTCTGGCTGAGAATTAGAGATTGCAGAGAAAAGCAAGGTCCCGACCCTCCCCCTTCCCTCACCCATCCCCATTCACTTGTTGCATGTGGCATTACTCCCCTACTAGGCTGGTGCTTAAAAGACCATGGAACCCCTTCCTCACCAGTTCACCTGGCGGAGCCCCCAGAGTCGATGTCAGTCAACCCGGCTGGGCTGGCCTTCTGCCTTTTTCACCAGTACGTGAAGAAAACAACTATCCCAATGCTCCAAAGCTCGGGCGAGCACGATGCCCAACAAGCCTCCACTCTGCTAGCTAATGCTGGGCGCTGCCCTCCATCACCCCACAAATAAACCAGCAGACTAAGGCTGGTCTCGTTCACATTTGTGCAGGGGAGAGGGGCATCCCTCACCCTGCCCCACTTTGGGGACATCCCTCTCTAGGCCATGTCTCCTGGTCCAGGAACACTCTCAGGAGGATTCTGAAGTGCCCACTCTAGTCCGCTCCAGTAGCTCCACTCTGGAGAGAGATGGCTGGTAGGTCAGTCCCCATCCTCCCCCAGCCCCCAGCCTGCCTCCGGGCCTGCTGTGGAGGTGAGATTGCCATGGGTTATGACTTTGTGACTTGAGTCCTAGGCATCTTCTGTAACGATGCCTCATTTTTTCTCAGATGTTGCCCAAAGTTTTGCAAAAAGCTTCGTTCATTTTCAGGTACCCCCACTCCCTAAAGAATTGGCTGCAACTAGTCAGCCAGGGGGACATCAGGAGAGAAGAGGAAGTCTAGGTTGGGAGGGCCCCAAGGTTGGCACAGAGTCTGCATCGTGGCTTAGCTCTATGCTTTCTTGGATTCCCTTTTAAAGATTATCAAGATTTCCTCCATTAAAATGCTCCTGGGGCACCCCCTACCCCTGCCCCCACTGCTGTTTGCTGTACATAGAGGCTAAGTGGGGTGGGGTGGGTGGGTGTGCACATGTGGTGTGTGTGTGTGTGAAGAATGTATATAGGTAAAGGGGAGCGGGGTCCAGCGGTTCCAGAAAGGGGACAGAACTCCTGTGTTCCATTCCCAGCTCGACCGCTGGCTCGCTGTGTGGCCTTGGGCAAGTCACTTAACCTCTCTGTGCCTCAGTTTCCCCATCTGTAAAATGGGGATAATAATACTGACCTACCTCACAGGGGTGTTGTGAGGCTTTAACTAAATGTTTTGTAAAGTGTTTTGAGATACAGAGGCAAAGGCACTAGGGAAGGGCAAAGTATTATTTGGACTTAAGGAAGATGAAATGGTACCATAAATGCTGCTATTCTGAGAGCCATTTAAAACTGCACTGCTCCAACCACCCCCGCTTCTCATCACCAGGACAGCAGGTCGAGAAAACGTCTTTCCTTTCACTTGCTTCTGGGGTTTGTGATTATTCTAGACACTTAATTTTTTTCCCTTGCTGTATCTCCTTCCCTCACCCCCTCGACTTGTTCCCTGTTCCGTTTATACGGAAATGGCAGAAATGCTTGAGAAATGAGAATGTATAAGTGGATTGGAAGTTTATAGTCTGAAATTTCAATTTTACTTTGTACTGTACATCTTTTTACTTTAGAATTTGCAATAAAGGGTTACGTCAATCTTGTTTTCAACTCTCCTCTTGGACTGGCTTGTCATTCTGTCATTGCTCTCACACCAAAGCCCCCTCAGCCCAGTGGACAGGGAGTCAAAGGCTCCCACCTAGCAGGACCCCACAGCTGTCCTCTGGCAAGGGACATAGTCTGAGCAGAGTCCGTGTGAGGTTCAGCTCTGGTCCTCTGGAAGGGGGCACGCCTGTACCTGTGTGGCCTCCTAAATACTCTAGGAGCCCCTCGAAGTAACAGAAGCTCCTCTCTGGTTCTGACCCCCATTATGCTTCCCAAGCTCCATTACTGCTCACAGATCATTTCCTCTGGAACTCACATTTTCAGCTCAGGCGACTCTGCGTTCAAAAGCCTGACTATGCCACCAGTTTCCTTATGTGTAACAGAATATCTTCCCGATTTTTGAAAATTAGATCAAATAATGTACATAACTGCTTAGCATAGGGCCTGGCACGCAGTGCTCAATAAATGATAGCTCCTAGTGAAAGAATAATTTCGAAATAAAGAACTAAAGCTGTCAAGAATTGGGAGGGCCTGCCTCCTACCTTGCCTCCCCCCCGCACCCCGCAAAAAAATGGCACCCACCCTTCCTCTGCTATTGACAGCACCCCTGGCTATGTTCGTCATTTCCAAAGAACGAATAAACAGATTGCTTCTTCCTTTGTGTGTTTCGTAACTTTTATAATAGGTCAAAGGAAGCAATCTACCAGGATTGTGCCCCTACTTTACAGCCTGGGGCACTGGGGCGAGGGGGTATCTGGCCCACCTGCAGCCCGGGCCGAGTGGGCCCAGGCCCCCAGCGAAGGGAGCTGCTCGTCTGTCAAGAGCGGCTTTGCCTCCCACCAGGCATGCGCCTCGACGGGCCTGACCTGGGCAGTAGAGGGCAGGCCAGAAGTGCCAGGCCGCGCCCCATCGCCGTCGCCGCCCGTGATCCACAGCGTGAGCAGGATGAGCAGCGCCCCGGCGCCCAGCGCCCCCAAAAAGCCGGTGAGGAAGCCTAGTGCCAGCGGCCTGGCCCAGCCAGCGGGACTCCGCTCGTATGGCGCCTGGGGCAGTCGCTCCACGATCAGCT